CTAAACCCTAAACCCTAAACTTAAGTGTGAAGAATCCCAAAGCGCCAGCTAGTCACCAGGCGCATCGCGAAGAAGGCATCGGGATGCTGCTCACTGAGGAGCTGTAGCTTGGGCGCCAGGCGCGGGTGCAGAAGGGCCTAGGATTTAGAGTTTAGGGTTGAGGGTTTAGGGTTTAGGCTTTAGGGGTTTAGGGTGTAGGGTTTAGGGTTTTAGGGGTGTAGGGCTTAGGGTTCTAGGGTTTAGGCTTTAGGGGTTTAGGGGTTTAGGGTTTAGGGGTTTGGGGTTTGGGGGCTTAGGGGTTTTAGGGTTTAGGGCCTGCCAGACCATACGCTGTGGATCCCACTGCTGCTCTCCCACATGGCCCTCCCGGAAGGTGACGGGAACCAAATCGAAGTCCCTCTGGCGGTAGTAGTTCTTGATCTCCTAGGTTCCCCAGTAGCCCCTTCATAATAAGAAGGGAACCCAAAAAGAAAAGGGACAAAAGGGTACTACTGGGGAACCTAGTCTCCACCGCGAAGTCCTTCTTCACCACCTCGGCCCTCTGAAATCGAAAGCGCCCGGAGGTCCTCTTCAAGTCCAGGATCGCACCATGCAGCTCCTCCACCATGTCCTCGGCTCCATTTTTCAGGCATAGGAAGATGTCGTGGTCCGAGTGGGTGGTGTCCAATCCCATGGCCACGCTGCCGCCACGGCAAACGGTATCAAGGCGCCCGCAGAGCGCCGGGTGGCGGCGCAGGAAGCCGATGATGCTGCGCCGCAATTGGTGGCACCGGCCCTGGCCGCGGCACAAAGCCTTGGCGATCAGCAAACTACCGAAGACCTCACCGTGGCTGAGTGGTCTCTGGGAGTCCCAGCTCCTCGCCAGCTGTCTGCAGAAGCAAGCTACCATGACCGCGATGAAGAGATCGCTAGAAGTGCCAGACTGATCAGGCTGAAGCACTGCTGAGTAGAGCGCGGGCGCGGCCCCAACCGATGTCAGCAGAGACTGCATCCTCTCCGGGGCAACCGAGCCATCCGCCAACTCCAAGCCGTAGACGAGATTTGACACGAAGACGGAAAGGAGGTGCTGGCCCGACGTCATGCGAATTACCCGCCTGCCCTGCAAGGCCCCCATGGGCTCTCGCGAAATTGCTTTTCTGCGGCACCATGACACAGTGTCCTCAACGGAGTAGTTCTCAACATGCCAAGGCCAAACCTGAGTTCTTGTTAGGGGATTTATAATTTAAGCGACTATAATAAGGAAACCATATTATTTACTATAGATCCCTATAAATCCCTATTATGGTAACTTAAGTAAAACCTGAACCCCTAAACCCCAAAACCCTAAACCCCTAAACCCTAAACCCCTAAACCCTAAACACCCCTCACAAGAACCCGGAAACGTGCATCTCCAGATCCTCGGCCACCGGCCAGGGATCCCGCGCTTGATTCGGAGCATGGGAGGCCAAGGACTGCATTTCCAAGAAGACCTCTGGGTTGTTCTCTGAATTAGGGTCCCTTTTAGGGGGCCCTTTTTAGAAGGGTGCCGTACTAGCCAAAGACTGCATTTCCAAGAAGACCTAGGTAGTTCTCCAGATTAGGGTCCCTTTTTAGAGGCCCTTTTATAAGGGTGCCGTGCTCTATTCCTTTCGGGGGCCCTTTTAGAAGGGTGCCGTACTCTATTGAGGACTTAAAAAAAGGGGGACCCTGATTTAGAAAACTACCCTCATAGAACCCTTATAGTACCCCCTAGAGATCCCTTTATAGATCCCCTTTAAAGGGACCCTAATTGAGAAAACTACCCTTGAGGACTTAAAACGGAACCCTAAACCCTAAACCCTAAACCCTAATTTAAAAAACTGCCCTTATAGAACCCTTCTAGAAACCCCGCAGAGATCCCTTTATAGATCCCCTTTAAAGGGACCCTAGTTTAGAAAGCTACCCACCTGCACCTCCTCCTCCGACTCCCAGTCTTCCTGCTCTCCGTGCTCGTTCTCGTCGCAGGTGCTGCCCTCCAGACCCAGGGTGCCTCTGGGCTCGTGCTTAGGAGCTTTAGGGGTTTAGGGTTGAGGG